CACTACCACTGTCTTCTGGTCCTTGTCTACTACCACGATGTCTGGTTGATTGGCCAGTACCTGCCTGTCCGTCTGGATCTGGAAGTCCCACAGGATCTTAGCCCTGTTATTCTCCATGACCTTCTGTGGAATCTCCCATCTGGACTTGGGGGGGTCTAGCCCATACGCTGTGCAGAGGTTGCCGTATACAATGCCAGCTACTTGGTTGTGCCGTTCAGTGTATGCTGTTCTTGCCTGCATCCTACACCCTGCCACTATGTATTGGACTGTCTCTGAGGCCTCTTTGCACAATCTGCACCTTGGGTCCTGTCTAGTGTGGTAGACCCTGCTTCTATGGATCTGGTGCATATATATATATAATATTCATAAGACTTTGATTTGCATCTACTGCATCCTAACTTGTGTTCATCATTTCATACTATATCTTCATGATCTTCCACATTTCCGCCAATATAATCAGTTTATCATGCCAATATAAACTATCATGCCTGCGACAACTATTTTTTTCTAAAGGGGAAACACTATTTGACCTTAAAGAGAAATTGTGTGTCATGCTTGACCCAAAGTACATTTCTAGCTTTTTAACTCAGACAGTTTCCAGGGAAATGGTTGAGCTATCCAATAGTTCATGTTAAATAATCTTTGTACTGAAGTTCTAGAGCAGGGGTTCCTAAACATTTTGCCATCATACCTCCTTTTAGTGTAATCTTAACGTATATACCTCCCCTAAAAATCCAAACACTAAAATGAACACAAATGAACAATGAAAACAATACAAGAAAACTTTGAGAAAGGTAGATTTATTATAACAATGTACAACTAAAAGATTCTTCATACCTCCCCTGGATTCTGTCTGTACCTCCACAGTTTGGGGTGTGATATATAGAGAGTATATAAACATACACAATTAGGGCAACAATTACAAAAGAAGAAATCCTGGTGAGGTTAAATGGAGTAATCAGAAAAGACACACTGGAGGTGGGATGGATCACTCCATGCAAATGTCAGTCCAGGGTGTAACAGCTATGAGAAAAAGAAGCAAATTCTGTTAGGATTGGACAAAATAAACTGCTAGTATCAAAAAAATCTTTTTACAAATATACAGTGCAATCGAACTCTGTGTCAAGGACAGTTCAAACCCCCTTCCGATTGTCTTTTGCAGAAGAGTAGCACGAAGCATCATTTTGCTCCTTGCCTCAGATAGCAGCATACTTTTTGTCATCTGTGTTTTGAAGAGGTTTTGCTGAGGTCCTTCTTTCTTTTGTCATATACAGGATATGCACGCATATGGTTCATCCAAAGACTTCAAAGTGAACGTGAAGGTGAACAAAACTCCTCAAGAAGATTTGGCCAAGATCCTGGCAGGGATAAGAGCAGATTATGAAGCAATAATTGAAAAAAACCGCCAAAGTCTTGATTCTTGGTTCCAGCAACAGGTATTCTTTCAGAAAACAAGATGGCAAAATTCTGTAGGGTTGCAGCTTTGATACCGTAGTTATCTACAGGAGTAGATCTCAGGGTGCAATGGTTTCACACCCGTTTGAAACATACAGACAAGATGCCTGATTAGATATGGAGAGTTAAGAAACATTCACCTCTTGATCTGAAATGAAGCCCCCCCCCAATGACATCTGACCTTCCTAACATTTAAAGCTTCCTCTGTATCTTAACTTAAACTGGCAATTAACAATATGCTAGTGTCCAAATTTAATTAATTCCACCTCTATATTGCATAAAAATGACTGTGGTACAGAGAAATTATTTTGCTTTTTTACTACTAGTTCTTGAATTTGATGAAAGATAATTTGCTTTCAAAATTTATTTCAAAGAAGAGATTTAGGACAAATTTCTCATGGTGGAATATGGTGCTCCTACACTTATGTAACTGAATTTTTTTCCAGAGGCGTATAAACCATTTCTGTGGCAGTTGGCAGTCTCTCTGAATTCTCACGTTTTCATTTAAAGGAAGACGTCTTGCAGAAACTCTTCTCATGGAGTTTTTCTGTAGCAATGCTGCCATCACCACTAAAGAAGAGACTTGCTCTTGAGAAATTATTGACAATTTCTCCTTCTTCTGGAGAAATTCATAGGAATTACACACTCGGTGTCTTGCTCTAAATTTGTGTGGAGAATTTCATTTTTGGCTAGGTCTAAACAATTATTTCATCTATTTTTATTTATGTTTGCACAGATTGGAAATGAATCTTCAGAGGGACAACACAACCAGGAAGAACTACAAAACAGCCAGAAAGAAATCACTGAGCTGAATCGCACACTGCAAACCCTGGAAATTAACTTCCAGACAGAACTAAATAAGGTGACTCCCAAGGACATTATTTTTTTCTGATCTTCTAATTCAAAGAAGAGCAGAAATATTTCAGTAGAATGCATTACAATTGCCTGGGGATCCATATGAATGCCTTCAATTGGCTTTATATCCAGGTGGTATGCTCTTTTTTTTTTAATTTAATTGCAAGACAAGTAAAAATGGCTTTGCTAAATCCTATCAAAGACCATCTAACAGTTTACAGCCAGCCAGATGCCTTTAGAAGCTGAGAAGTAAGACAGGCAAATGAAAGCATTCCCGTATTTGTTCTCAGCATTTGATAGGAACAGATGCACTGGCTATGAACATGGACAGCCAATATGGTGTAGTGACTAAGTCCATCCTCAGCCACCGTGGAAGTTCGCTAGATGACTTTGGCTAGACAGTCTCTTTCAGCCCAACCTATTTCACAAGATTGTTATTATGGGAAAAAATGGGAGGAGGGAGAGCTATGTATGCCACCTTGACCTATTGAATGTAAGGAAGAATATAAGTGTAGCAAATAAATAAATAACATAGGAATGTCATTTCAGAGCCTAAATAACAATCTTAGAGCTAATCCATCTCCTTCATGGAGGAAAAAAAAAATAGAATACAATTTACAGGATAATCCAATGTTCTGGTACAAAGACAGGGTCTCAGTGCCACTCTAGATCAGGGATGGATAATTTGCAGCTCTCAAGATTCTGATTTGTGGCATTATTGTTATCCTTATAAAAATTTAAGCTCTAAAATAGGTGCGCAGCTCTCATTCTAGGAAGCTTACTTTGAGTGACCCCTTCCTCATCCACCAATGCTAACGCATAGAGGGGGTCTGCTTCAACAAATTGGGGGAGCAGGGGGTGGAGAGTGGCAGCATGGTTGCTAATTCTTGTTGAAATAGACTTTTGAATAGCATAGTACATTTTTGGGGTGGGGGGGACTGGTTCTGAAAGTCCAACAGACCAAGAAGCAAGAAAGTCTGATATGGGCTTTTACTTCTGCAGTTTCATTGTTGTATGGCAGGCAGAAGTCTCACTGGAAATGCTTCTACTATTATGGGATTCAGATTTCTGCTGTCAAAGTTTTACAGCTGAAACAAGTATAAGTTTTTAAAGAGCCCCAAGCCATTTTAAGATTGTATGATTTTAAAGAGAGAATTGTTTTGAGGTTTGAGTCTCCTTGAAAGAGATAGTACCCTAGACAAGGAGGAATTGTGCCTGTCTATGTTAAACACAGAGAATATGGTTGTGATTAAATAGTGGGGAAGTAAAAGGGACTCTGTACATGGTCCTACAGGTTGTTATTTCTATTTTCCTTCATTGTTTAATACTGAAACTTATTATACATTAATTCCTTCTGAGAAACTGAACTGTCATGAAGGAACTCATATTGCAAATACTGGCCTGGGGCAATTGTAGGCCACTGAAAAAATGAAAAGATAATCATCCTCCATAAGCAAAAAATTGTGCAATCGGGCAATGATTAAATCATACTAACACTAATTAACATGGCAGTTTGAAAAGACAAGTTGTTGCTCCAAGCACTTTACTTTCTAAATTTAAATAGAGAGGAGAGGAAGCCAGGATAGGAAGAGAAAAGTAAATACCTCTCCACTCCACATAAACAATAATAAAGTTATAGACAAAATTTAAAGATATGATTTCAACAACTGCTTATAGACAGAAGCTATCATTTACACCTATCCAGTAAATGAGTGTGTTTCTTGATTTCTGCTATGTACTTATGCAGTTTGAGAACACAACATTGTTGGCATGTTTTGTTCTTTCAGAAATTTGCCCTAGAAAACAATTTGGAAGAAGGCAAGTCTCACTATGCTTTTCAGCTTCAAAGTATCCAAAACCTCATCTCTAAATGTGAAGAAGAGCTCAGCAAGTTTCGGCATGATATCAAGTGTCAAAATAATCAGTACAAGATCCTCTTTGGAATAAAAACACGCCTGGAGAGGGAAATTTCTACTTATCGCCAGCTTCTGGACGGGGATGTTGATGGGTAAGGCACAGTCAACCTCAGGCACAAAGAGGAAAGAGCAAACTTGTAACTGGAATCTAATCTAAAAATTGAGGTTAGTGAAGGAACAATTCTGAAAGCAAGTTTCAGATCAAAATGCAAAAGTGGGCAATGGCTGTCTGTTCCAAGTAAAATGCAGTCTGGATGACCACAACCTCTTTTGGACACCTGGTGCCATCACAGACACTTGTGTAATGACCAAGCTCCCAAAGAATTGCCCAAGAAAAGTTCTATCACAAGATTTTGGCAGGATGAGGGAGTTCTCATGAGATTTTAAGGCTTTCTTCCTGTCACATTTGATCTATTTCTTTTAAAGGGATTTTCACTCCTTTTATTAAGAAATGCAGACATTTTGGAAATAGCATAGGAGCTATTTCCAGCCTGGAGAGGATCGTGTTGTTTGATTAGCTATGCAGCCATTAAGGATAAGAAATTAGGGCTCTACAGTACTTTGGATTGGAAGGCAAAAAGGTTCTTTGAGGCAACACAGGTGGGGGCATGAAAGCAGCACCATAGTATGTCATTTCAATTGTGTGCACTGATTCCATCAGACACAGCAGAAGAGGCATGTTACAGGCCCAGTCAATCAAGGAGTGTCATCTGGTGGCACCCAGGAAGTAAGCCTTTCTGTCGTAGGGCCTGCATCATTCCCCAGAGATTAGATTGGCTCTGACCCTGCTAGCCTTTTATAGGGCCCTGAAGACACGGTTGTGCTCCCTGGTGTGGGGGTCAGATTGTCAGTTAGAACCCGTGAGAAAGCTATGCTAATTGCTGGTTGTTTGGTTTTTACCTTGGCTGCCAGTTACGTAGTTTATTTTGTTGTTGTTTGTGTTCTTATTGGCTGTTAGCTGCCCAGAGTCACTATGATGACATGGGCAGTCATATAAATGGAAGAAAACAAATTATTATTATTAATCATTATTTTTATTACATCTTGCTGCATACAAAACAAAATTCTTATGACAGCTAGAGTTCTAGCAAGCTAGTGTTCTAGCTATCTTAGAAGTGATATGGAGCAGATTTGCACAGAGCATTCTTACTGATATTGCCTTTCTCACTTCACAGGAAGACCGGCGCAAACTTTAGAGGTAAATATAATCTAGATTCTATTTTGGTGGAAAAAGGGTCAGACAGCTTTGGAAGAGGATTAATATAGCTATCAACAGCTATCAAAGCTATCAACAGCTGCCAATCATGATGAGTATAGCTATTTCAGGATCAAAAGTAGCAAGCTGCAAAATACCAGTTGCTGGAAGCCAAGTGTGATGGTATGTGGGAACGACCTTGGGAGACAGGAGGAAAAGCTGCACTGTAGACAATCATCAAGTAAAAGGTATCTCAGCCTGCAAAAGGAAAAGGGGCACAGGAAGCGTCTCAGAAGGGACCCTCCCTAGTTTTCTGGAGAGTAAAAGGAAAGGAGGGGAGGAATACTTTCAGAATTGCAAAATTGATGTTAGCCCTTCAAGGTAGTCCGGACAAGAAGCACAGCAATGAATACAAGCTCTATCTTTATTGTAAGGTTACATTAAGAGAATCTTGCAAGTCTGAAAGTATTCCTAGAGGTAGCTGCTAAGCCACTGTGGAAACAGGATGCTGATCAATATGTCTTTGCACCAATCCATCATGGTTCTTTCTTATGGCATTATCTTAGTATTGTCTTTGCCAATCTCTTCATGGTCACAATCGGGTAAAACAGAAGTTTGAGGAAAGTTCCATAACAAATGTATGGACTGTACCTTCATGATGTAAATCAAACTGGCTATTGCCAAGCTCTAAATGTGAACTAGAAAAGCTTGGGTTATGGCTCAGTTAAGTTACTTGGATGGGTAGATAAGTCATTTACGTCAAACATGTTGCATTTTCAGTTTATTCCAGACATTTCGGCTGGGTGTGTGCATTTCAGTGTTAAGTTTCTAGAACTGGAGAAGCATCCAACTGTTAATCCCATCACACCACAGTTTAGTCTCACGGATATTTATATAGTTAATTGTACGATGCTGCTTCTCTACTAATGCATGATCAAATTTCTTCCAGGACACAGATCAAGCAATCAAAACCTAAAGAAAATTGTGCAAGAGACTGTGGACGGAGAGGTAGTCTCTACACATACCACTGAGATCAAACGACAGGCATGATTTCCAATGTGAAGGAAGAATCACTTCTCTGTGGAGCATATACAGATCTGACTATTTAATGAGGACAGTTCTATTCCTTATTGGCGGTGTATGCATACATTCCTTGAGGATCCTGAATTCTTTTTCTCAATCTTTCATCCATATGTAATTTAATTTAATATGAATGCAAATATTTTAGCATCTTCTGTTGTAGCTTACTTCTTTAAAACCTCTAGATAAATAAGAATATCATTAATTTATTCTGGTTCCCAGTAATTGGAGTTGCTAAGTCTGACAATCAATTAGCAAAGACGTTTGCTCATCCCAGAAGCAAATGCTGCACAGTTGTGCCTTTAAAAGAGTGCCTGGCAAGTTACTCATGATATAGGATCTCCATAGAAAAATAAGAGATGTATTACTTGTCCAAAAGGCTTCTGGCCATAAATCATGATTAAAGTTTTCAAACAGATTCAAGAGAGAAAATTTGAAAAAAAATTGGGAGAATTCTGGAGGTAGGTCTGTCTTTATATGACAAAAATGTTAAAATGTGGTAAAGGCAAATTGATTGAACTATGGCTGAAACTAATTCTGGCACATCCATACATTATGTGGAGGTAAGAACTGTCCACTAGTGGTACATTAATAATGGCTGGGCCTCTATACCCAAAGAACAATAAATGGTGCCTCTATAACAACATTTTGATGGTCATTTTTCTTCCCTTGTGTTGCTTCCATTTGCTTAACTGCACATTACACAGAAACTTGAGTAACAGGAACTGGCACTGGAAAGAGAAGAGCTTTTGATGTTCTTCCCCAGGAGATCAGTGGGGAACTAGTGCACACCCATAGGCTCCATAGGGGAGAACATTTCACAATTCAAATACCTTGCTTCGTAGATTCCGGTGTGACTTCATATTCCCTTTATATCAGAGTTTCTTTACATCCTTAAAAATATCCTACATGTGGAATCAGAGAATTTTACAGATGGGAGAGAACATGGAGGTCATTCAGTCCTGCTGAATGCAGGATCTATAATGTAGGAGGCAAATATGACATTCCTGACAATGGCCATCCAACTTCCAGCAAAAGAGGACTTTCTAAGGCCCTCTCTCAAATACTTCTTATCATAAATGTTTTTAATAACATTTTAGAGGACTTCTGAATAGCCAAAACAAATTTTATTTTCCCAAGTATCAGCACAAAGTCCTACTTGGGAGAGAAACTACCCTGACCCATGAACTGATACATGCCTAGCTTGATCTTTGGTGAGCCTAGTGTGAAAACAGATCACCTTTTCTAGTGATGGTTTGGGAAATGTGTCTTTTTCGTTCCTTCCAGTTTTAACATACAAAGTCCTACTTGGGAGAGAAACTACCCTGACCCATGAACTGATACATGCCTAGCTTGATCTTTGGTGAGCCTAGTGTGAAAACAGATCACCTTTTCTAGTGATGGTTTGGGAAATGTGTCTTTTTCGTTCCTTCCAGTTTTAACATGCTATAGAGTGAAATCATCTTTGTGCCCTCCCAGAGTTTGGAAGGGAGAAAACCAGGGTTCCATGAAAGCTGGTTTATGTTTTTTAAAGCTGCCCATAAAAGGACAGCATAATGTATTTCCATAAACCAGTTCTTTCACTGAGCATGTCAAGACCAGTTCATGACTGCAACTTCTGGTTGCATAAGGAAGATTCCAAAAAGCCTTGAATGGATTACCTAATGTTTTCTGGGGAGAACTGGTAATACCAGATAGATAACACTGCATGAATTGATGTATTCTTTCAGATTAACATCCAGAGCCAACCCATTCAGGTCCATCTGGCACTCAGTGCTCCTTGATAAATTAAAATGGGCCTGGCTTCCTAAAGCTGTAACATTATTCATACACCTATACACATACTATTTAAGGAAATAATAACGGCAGAGAAAGGACATGAAAGTACAAGGCAAATGATCACAGAGTTAGATTGCCTACCACAGCCGTTCCCAACCTTAGCACCTCTAGGTGTATGTACTTCACCTCCCAGAATTGAGAGCCCGTTTGGTCTAGTGGTTAAGGCATCAGGCTAGAAACCAAGAGACTGTGAGTTCTAGTCCCACTTTAGGCATGAAAGCTGGCTGGGTGACTTTGGGCCAGTCACTCTGTCTCAGCCCAACCCACCTCACAGGGTTGTTGTTGTGGAGAAAACAGGAGGAGGAAAGAATATTAGGTAAGTTCGCCACTTTGAGTTATTTATAAAAATAATAAAGGCAGGATAAAAAAAAATCTAAAAAAAAAGTCAAAGCTGGCCATTGCCAATAATTCTGGGAGATGAAGTCCACACTTCTGGAGAGAACCCAAATCGAGGAAGGGTGACCCAACAACTTTATATTGGCTATAATACTGGAGTGATGACATATGGAGTGATTAGGCTACAGAAAGTTATCTTAAGGAGAGATTGTCAAACTTATTTTTTATTTTCTCCAGTTTCTGATTTTTGCAAATCTGGTTTATCAAGCTAGAGATTTTTCTTTTCAAATCACTTTGTTCTTTTTTTTTTTTTTTAATGAATTTGGGTGTGAATTCCTCCAAACATACACATCTTGTTTGTAATTTTCCCTAAATAGGCTTTGAAAACGATTCCCCCTAATATAACACAGGTTACATAATTTTTTATGAATATGTGCATTTTTGTACAGATCTTACTCATATGTACATGTATGTATGTATGTATGTATGTATGTATGTATATGTAAGCTTTG